AACTCCGCCAACGGTGTGCGCGTCAAGACCGTCTACAAGGCCACTGGTGCAGTCTCTGGCGTGACCTTCTCCAACATCAAGCTGTCCGAGATCTCTAGCTATGGTATTGTTATCGAGCAGGATTACGAGAACGGCAGCCCTACCGGTACCCCCACTACTGGTATCCCCATTACCGACCTGACTGTCGAGAAGGTTACCGGCACTGTCAAGAGCAGCGCTACTGACGTCTACATTCTTTGCGGTAGCGGTAGCTGCTCTGACTGGACCTGGTCTGGAAATTCCGTCACTGGTGGTAAGACTAGCAGTAAGTGCGAGAATGTGCCTTCTGGTGCTTCTTGCTAGATTGCTAGGGATCAAACAGTAATCACCAGGGCATCAACCAGACGAGAGTGGGCTATTTTCAAGGCAAATTTGACTGGGTGAGCTAGAAGACGAGGTTAAATATGCTATTAGTCCCTTTGGACGTCATTGTACTTATATAGCCATCTGTAGATGGATTCAATTGAATGGTTTTCAACCTACCTAATAGTAGCTGAGAATGACTATACTGTAAAACACTTTAGATTAGCAAAATTCACTCGTAGATTCAATTTCTTGTGCATCTATTAATTTCTATCTATGTTGTACATATTTCGTTGCAATTAACGCCAAGCTGAACGTTCGGTGGTGATGACGCAACGAGTTCCTTTCCCCAATCAGCCAATACTCAAGCTTCTTCTCTTACACACACAAAGCCACACCCAAATCCTATTCAAAATGCATGTTCTGCTACTCGGCGGTCATGGCAAAGTCGCCCTTCACCTTACTCCACTCCTCCTCAACCGGGGCTGGAGCGTAACCAGCGTCATCCGCAACCCTGCGCACGAAAGCGAGATTCTAGAGCTGGGCCAAGGCCACAAGGGCAACCTCAAGGTGTTACTCTCGAGTCTAGAGGATGTGAAGAGTTCCTCGGACGCTCAAAAAATCATCAACACCGTTGTGCCGGACTACGTCGTCTGGTCGGCTGGTATGGCACCCCTCACCCCTCACCCCGCACTTATCTTTAAACATCGCAACGCACAGTGCAATGAGCCATCCCCAGTTCAAATAAAGCTATGAGGCCATATAGGCCTCTATAATGCACTATGGAAAATCAACAATTCCCAAGCCACAAACTAACACGCAGACCCAGGCGCCGGCGGCAAAGGTGGTGCAGCACGCACAATCGCGATCGACCAAGAAGCAGCGAAACATTTCATAACAGCATCATTTGCATCACCAGGCGTTAGCAAACTCCTCCTGGTGTCGTACCTAGGCAGTCGACGCAAGCAGCCGAGCTGGATGCCGGACGACCAATGGGCGGGTATAGTGAAGGTCCAGACGGAAGTGCTGCCGACGTACGCGGAAGCCAAGCTAGAAGCCGACGAGTACATGACAGCGCTGGCTGCGCAGCGGAAGCGCGAGCCTGGACCGGCGCGGCCTTTCCAGGCTATCAATCTGCGGCCTGGGATTCTGACTGATCAACCTGCGACACGGAAAGTCGAGTTGGGGATCACGCCTAAGGGTGACGGAAGTGTTACTCGGGAGGACGTGGCGATCGTAGCGGATCTTTTGCTTGCTAGGGCTGATACGGAGGGATGGATTGATCTTGTTAATGGGGATGAGGGGGTTGAAGAGGCTGTTGAGAGGGTTGCGAGGGAGAAGATTGATGCTGTTGTTGGGGAGGATGTTGAGGGTATGGTTAAGAGGTTTTTTCCTTAGGGAACAATTTCCGGGCTTGAATCTCTAGGTTTCTATACTAGAAAGGGCCTGGGATTGACAGGATACTCTACTCTTCGGATCTTCCATATGTCATTCAATTATGAAAACGAACGTGAAAAGATATAAAGTTTATATGGTGTGCATATCTAAGAAAACATATTCACAGCTTGGCTTTGGGTGCCTCTACCACCCCCTTGAACTTCTGCTTCAGAATCCGACGCAGGATCTTCCCACTAGGGTTCTTAGGGATCTCATCCACAAACTGCACACCACCACGCAGACGTTTGTGGCTGGTGACCTTGCTATCCAGCCATTTGATAATGCTCACTGCTTCTTCCTTTTCGCTCCTTCCAGAAGACTTGCTCTTGGCGCTGCGAACGACACAAGCCATAGGAACCTCGGAACCGTGTGTCTCACTCTCAATACCGATAACAGCAACATCATCAATAGCATCATTGTCAACCAGATGTCCTTCCAGCTCGGCAGGAGGCACCTGGAAGCCCTTGTACTTGATGAGTTCCTTGACACGATCGGTAATGTAGAAATTACCCTTGGCGTCCTGGTACCCAACGTCACCAGTCTGGAACCATCCGTCCTCAGACAAACAGCCCTTAGTAGCCTCTGGGTTCTCGTGATAGCCCATGAACACGTTAGGTCCACTGACGTACAATTCACCAACCTCACCGACGGCAACCTCCTTGGGCTCGGAACCATCCTCTGGCATAGTCATATACTTGGCTTGCATATTAGGCATCAAGCGGCCAACGGAACCGATAGCCTCGCGCCAATCCTCCCACCGCTGGGAGTGTGTGGTTGGGCTAGTCTCGCTGAGTCCGTAGCCCTGCTTGATGCCAACCTTGATGCGGGAGTAGACTGCCTCTACCAGCTCATGCGTCAGCGGTGCAGCGCCGGAGTTCATCATGCGAAGACTTGAAAGGTCATAGTTGTCGACCACCGGGTGCTTGCCTAGCAATAGCACCACAGGGGGGACAATATAACTGAACGAGCAGCGGTAGTTCTGCACGTGAGCGCACCATTTTTCTATGTCGAATTTTGACATGACGACCAAGTGATAACCCTTATATAAAGCCTGGGCAAGTAGGCAATTCAACCCTAGAGACTCACAGTTAGTATCGTGTTCATCCGAGCATCTATGCGATTGAAAGCTATACCATAGATATGATAGAACGGCAAAAATGCCAGTACCCGATCACCCTTTCCGTCAGGACCACCATTCCAACTCAGGTTTGTACCTTCAGCGATGTACTGCTGCCTAATATTGGCAACGATATTCCGATGCGACAGCATGACACCCTTAGGCACACCCGTAGTCCCAGAAGAATAAACTAAGAAAGCTACATCCTTCGCGGGAGTGATCTTCTGCTTGCGGTAGCGGGTAGCACCAGAGATATTGCGCACAGAGCTAAAATGCTTGGTCCGCACATCGGGATCCCGCTGGTCCCCAATCAGGATAATGCGATCCTCGGATAAGCCGACTTTCTTCGCAGCTTCCCGCGCCACAGACAGCACCGAGGCCTGCGTTACAAGTCCCTTGGCGTTAGAGTTCTTGAGCTGGAAGGCCAGCTCGTCAACTGTGTAGCCTGGGTTCGCAGGCGAGATAATTCCGCCGGCCCAAAGTGTGCCCCACATCACCACGGGTGTGTCGATGCTGTTTGGCGTGAAGAGGGCCAGCACATCACCCTTGCGCCACTCATACAGAGCTTTCAGGCCCTTGCCAAAATCTAGCGAGGCCTCGCGTAGCGATTTGTATGTGTAATGGCGCTGGGTATCGGCATCTTGGTAGATAACTGGTGGGGGTCAGCATGAAGAAAATTCAAGAGAAATGCAAATGCCGTGTTCAACGCAGCGCACCACTGGGTTCTCATTGAATATCACGCACTCTTATCATCGGGGTAAGCCCTATCCTTGCGCTCAAATAGAAAGGTCCAGAGGTCCACTTCTGGGATGTCGACCAGAGGGTAATTGGAGGCGACAGGCATTATGGGGTAATAAAGCCAAGGATTCGATGCCGGTGAATGTGATCGAGGCTCAAAAAGACTGTCAGGTGAAAGACGAAAGGGACGCACACGAGCAACCGAGTATGTACTTAAAAGAGGTGAGATGGGTCTTTCTCCGCAATCTCGGCTGACGGCTTGCCTCGGTCCAATATCGCAGGGGCCCAAGCCAATTAAAAACTGCTTGTTCCTTGACTCTTCAGCATTAAATTGGAGGAATTGAAAGATCCAATCTCATACTGTTCACTGCATATTCCGAATAATCATCTGTTCCGTTGAGGTTCATGCAGGATACTCATTGATATCCTTGACATCCATCCTTGATATCGGCACTCAGAGACCTCGATCTCGGCAGTTTGACAGAGATAAGCAACTACTTCACCGAATGCCGGATGAAACCTTGGAAGATAGAGGAAAGACACATTTATAGAGTAGCTCAAATAGAATAATAATAAGGTCTGGTGAATGGAACATCGCAATGTCATGCCCACCTGGAACCTCACAATTTGATAAGTATCAGCTTCAAACCTTCGAAGTCAGGTAATTTTATAGTGACATGAAACAGTTTAATGCAAGACTATAATACACAGAACGACGTGGAGCGGCCAACTCATTCGGGAAGAGGCCGTTGTAGGAATATATATCTGTGTAACTCGAGATATGTGTCCATGATAGCAATGCAGAGGTATAGAATGTGCTGCCAATGATTGCTAGTTTATATTCCATTACGTTTAATACAATGAGGCAATGAGGCTCAATAAACAAATAAATTGGATACCACGATGCCCCTTCCCCAGAGTAAAGGTAGCGGAGCCCAATTTGTGGAACAATTCACAGTAATATGTACAACGGTGCAGTCTCCATGAACCTCATGACCTAGACGTAGGGACCATGAGACGGGCGTGTCCGGTGCTGTCTAGTCTGCCCCTCCGAATTACTTGGCCTACAATGTGTCTGGAAATGAATTTGTAGTGTCGTTAGATTTAGACTCCTTCCCCGGCGACACAAAGCGAGACGAGTGAAGGAGTATCTTTTTGACCTCGCCAGATTCGACGAGGGACTAAATCCAGATCCCAATATGATATCATGCCGACAAGATCTTAAATTGAGTTGGAAACAGCGGACCCAGACTGGAAATACATGCTGAAAAAAAGAGCCCAGATGAGAGTTTTGCTGAATTCCATTTTTGCTTTCCCAGCACCATTTCCTCCACACGCCACTCCGGGGGGAATCGTTTGAAATCGTTTACTTGAGGGGAATGAAACGGGAAGAGTGGGTGGCACCAATACCGGGACGACCGTGCTTGACGGGCTTGCTAGGAGGTTGTTAGTGTGCTGATGTTAAATGGCCATGCGAAAAATTCCCGGGAGCACATACTAAGAGATAGAGAACTCAGCCAAGTAGTGACCAACCATCTCGGGCTTGATCTCAACCTGGTTGAACTCCTTACCGGAGTAGATACCGACGACGGAGCCGATCATCTCGGGGACGACGATCATGTCACGGAGGTGAGTCTTGACGAGATCGGGCTTCTCGTTGGGCTTGGCCTCCTGCTTGGCCTTGCGGAGCTTCTTGATGAGACCCATGGGCTTGCGCTTCAGGCCGCGGTTGAAACGTCTGCGGGCACGGGCGTGAACGACATCACGGAGCTGCTCGGAGGAAAGGTCGAGGAGCCTGTAAAAGGATTCAGTCAGACTAATGTCCTTGCTTGTTTATGATCCCTGTTGTCCATTCGCAACGCAGCGACAAAGAGGCGACAATAAAGATGCCATATGCGGTTCATCCATAATGGTTGTTGACATTGTAAATGACCACCTTCAATTTCGTCTCACGAGGTACTGGCTGCGAATGGATGTCCAAGGATTCGATGATTGGTAATGTAAACGTACTGGTCGAGGTCAATGCCGCGGTAAGAAAACTTGCGGAACTGTCTTCTCTTCTTGATCTCTGTTCGGCGAAGGTTCAGTCAGCGTCTGCGATCTTGTTGTAGTGCGTATCTCCCATGTCCATGTCGTTCCCCGCTAACGTCTTTCTTCAATCATCTTCGTATAGTCGATTGTAATGCGCGCCTTCTCTTCTCATTCGATTCTTCTGTCCATGGGCGATGGGTAGGGATGGGTTTGCTTGTTCATAACGTACCGGCAGCCTCCTCGGCGTTCTAGATGAAAACTCCATGTTAGTGTATCGCACGGGCTTGAAGGGCGAGGGCGAAAAACTCACGTATTCGATGTCAGCCATTTTTGCAGATATTCCTGTAAACCGCCTTTCGACCGTATCTCGAAAAGCGAAGGAGATGGGTTGTCGGAAATTGTCGTGTCGCTAAGCGGTCGGGCTGCTAACACACAGGCTGTAGGAGGTGGGCAGCACTCGTTAAGCGACGGGTAGGTTCCAAGCCCTAGACACTATACCCTTTCGGGCAATACGTAATTTACTTTGAAACATTGGTCTTTGCTTTGTAATCAAACTCTTTGTAATCTTTATTTACCTGACTTTGCTTGGGGAAACATCAGTAACGTTTGTACCATTTGTGTAATTTATTTGTATTATGATTACCCATTCCCATGATATGGCAGAATCGGAGGCTGTTGATGGTCCTTATCAAGTACAATCTGAGTACGCTTACTCCGTAGTTACCATGACGTGGATGATTGAATCTCTAGTTCTCCAAGAGAATTTGACACGCTAACTTTGAGAGCGGGTCTCGGCGATCTTTCAAGAACTACATTTACGCATTGAGAAAAAGTTGTAGCGAAGGCCAGACGAATTGTATTGGCTATAAGCTTATTCCAGCTCATATGAAGAGTCGCAACTGTATCAAAACAGTCTCAACAAAACACACTTGAGAAGCCAACCGGCGCAAATCTTGCCCGGACTGACGAACCAACCAAACATCTGTTCCCCAGAACTATGATTTTTAGGCCTTGGATTAAAGCGCTTAATCGAAGAGTCCGAATCCCATATCCTCATCGGACTCCTCCTCCTCCTTCTCCTCCTTCTTCTCCTCAGCAGGAGCAGCGGCACCACCGGCAGCGGCAGCGGCAGGGGCAGCAGCAGCACCGCCACCGGAGGGGACGGAAGCGAGCTTGGCAGAGCCCTCGGAGATCAGCTATATAAAGAGTCAGCATGCATTTCAGGTAATATATATGCGCTTGCGAGTATCACTGACCACCTGGAGGTCCTTGCCCTTGAGCTCGGAGATGACCTTCTCGACGCGGTCACCCTCAGCGTCGATGCCGACGGAGGAGAGGACAGCCTTGATATCGGCGGCGGAGGGGGCCTCGTTGCCGGCGAGGGCGAGAAGCAAGTAGGCGGCGAGATACTTCATTTTGAATGGACTGGAAAAAAATCTTCATTAGTATCGAATTCAAGATCGAATGCGATCGTACTTTTCAAGCCGCAAAATCGGCCGAGAAGCACATAAATAAAGTGTACGTACCGTTGGTGATTATTATCTGAACAAGAGAAACAATCGATTTAACCGCGAATTGGGCGGAGACTGCAACGTCGAGTTCTGGTGGAAGAGGTTGGTTGACGAAGGATTAACCGAGTGCTCAAAATCTTGGAAAAAAAGGTGGTGCGAGTGGGTGTGGCTAGTGTTGGCGGGACTTCTAAGCGAGTGCTGTGGCGCGGTGTATTCACTATCACGTGACGTTTGCATATCCGGCCTTGATAATTGCATGCTGGCCCATAAACCTGTCTCTCTTCTCTACTCCTCTACTGAGTACATAACTCTCACTTCGAAAGCTCTTGGGCCAAGTCAGGCGTGTTCTTCACTTTTGCTACTTCTGTTATTCCAAGATAACAGAGAATCCGGAGAGAGCCAAGCCAGAGATCTATTCTCATGCTATCGGGCTCGGAGTCATGAAGTTACTTAGTCGTACCAAATATCGACGGTGAGCGACTTCTTCTTTGTACCACTCTTCGACTCCAGGATTTAAACCCTCGGGATATTTCTCCTATAATCAAAATGAGTGTATGGCTACCTATCTTTCTCTTCGTTTCACCTCATTTTGACTGACATAGCATAGTTCCTCGATTCCATTCTCTCGTCTATCCAGACGGGTAAGCCCTCCCAACTTCCGGTGACTCAGGTGCCTACCTCGCCTGCACCTGCTTCAATCCCCAAAAAGGAGGATCGCAAACCGACCGCTGTGCGACGGCCGCCTCCAACCAGCGGGAATGTCAGTGGAGGGATCAAGCGCAAAGCTGATGACCAGCTGCCTCGCCCACCAAAACCTGAAAACAAGGTGGCAAATAGCTCCGCCGCAATGAGGCCTACACTTCCCACGAGGCCAGCGGTATCATCAGTACCACCCAGAGTTGTATCCAAGCCAAATCTTCCGACCACCTCCAGGCCAACCATGCCTAAACCCACCCCCAAACCCAGCTTGTCTGCGGCGCCAAAAGCGATACCCCCACGGAAGGAGCCCGACCCCAAGCCCACATCCGCAGGCGCTGCCACAACCTCGAAGCCGCCACCAAAGGGATCATTTGCGGAGATCATGGCGCAGGCAAAGGCTAAGCAAGAGACGGCGCCTGTGGGAGTAGGGTTGCTACGACACCAACCCGGCTCCAAAGAAAGACTTACCAAAGTGGAGCGCAAGCGGCGCATGATGGAACTCCAGGCCAAGGAAAAAGAAGCGCGTTTAGGAAGGAAGGCTGGATCCGGTGTCTCTGCTAAGGGTAAGCCTGCTGTCCGGCAGCGCGATTCCGAGGGACCCTCATACAAGGGGACGGCCAAACCGACGCAAACTCCCGAACCGCTTACCTACCGTGGTACCGCGGGCCTGCCGTCAAATCGTGGTGGAAATGACCGTCGACACCAGTCTCGCAACCGACAAAATGAATATCTCGGAACTGACGAAGAAGATGAGGGCGACCTCGGTGGCTACGACGATTACTACTCTGATGCGTCGTCCGACATGGAGGCTGGAATGGATGATGTAGACCGCGAAGAGGCGGCTGCATTGGCATTTGCTAAACAGGAAGACGAGAAAGAGCTACGGCAAGAAATGGCGGCTAAGAAAGAGAAGTTGGAGCGCCAGCGGAAATTGGCCGCTCTTGCTTCTAGGAGCAAGCGTTGAAGTTTGGACATTTTATACAGTCAACTGGTTTCTTTTTTTCCTTCTGATCACTTTCCTTGATCTCTTTTGTTTTGGATAGGACTACATGTTAACTCCGCATTATGAGCGTTCGGGGTGTCCATAGACGGGGATGCCTTCATATTTTTTGCTTTGAAGCACCATCAATAGCGAGCGCTATATCAATACCAACTTTCTTTTCTTTTGACTATTGTTCTGTACATTGTAGCCAATATTCAATATTGAAGTCATCGGCTTGATATTACAACCCCGGCCCCACTTGGCAGGTGACATCACTCGCGTTTACCCAGCATAACTGAAAGTTATCTTCTACATTTTCACATTTTACCAATTTCACCATTTCACCATGGAGTCAGTTCATCATGTGTCGGTCTCATCGAAGATTCTCTTCAGCAAGGTGCGCAAGATTGTGCCTCCAATGCTCGAAAAGTTCCACAAAGGTCTGTTGATTAAGTCGATTGAAGCTATCGACCACGCAAGGAAAATCCCCGCTGACTATTAATCTAGGACAACTCGGCCGTGTAGCTGTTATCGGAGGCTGCGTTGAGTAGGTTCTCTGCCTGTTGACACTGGTATCCTACTGACTGGTATAAGCTACACCGGGGCTCCATACTTCTCATCCATGGCCTCTGCAAGACTTGGTACGTCCCCTAAACAGGTCCATGATCTCCACTAAAGATATTGACTATCGAATTGCAGGGTGCGATATGGTATGTGCGAAAGATGGCATACCTTATGCAAACGACTAACAACCACCAGAGCCACGTACTCTGCGAACGATCCGCAGCACCAGTAAGCTAAAATTCGGCTTTGATTGAACCTATTCTAAACATGTAGTACACAGGTTATCAAAAGCTATTCTCCTAATTTGATGGTACACCCATTGCTTCCAAGCAGCGACACTGTGAAGGACCCCAATTCGATCGATGCACCAGCACTGGCGGGTCCGATCATCGCGATGTTATCTCGCCTCCATGCACTTGTGATTGGACCGGGTCTCGGCCGCGATGGCGTGACGCTAAAGGTAGTCGCGGAAGTGATCAAAGAGGCGCGGGCGCGATCGATCCCATTTGTGCTAGACGCAGATGGGTTGCTGATTGTGGCGCAAGACCCGGGCCTGGTCAAAGGCTACAAGGACTGTATCCTCACGCCAAATGTGGTAGAGTTTGGGCGTCTAGCCAAAGCGCTGGGTGTCAAGGTCGTCAGCCAAGCGGAGATTGCGCAAGGCGGAAACGGCGACACCATCAGCAAAGCATCAGATGAGTGTGAGCAGCTATCTCGAGCCCTGGGCGGCGTGACGATCATTCAAAAGGGTCCTCAGGATTTGATATCCAACGGGGTTACTAGCATTATCTCTGATAACAAGGGTGGCTTGAAGCGCAGCGGCGGTCAAGGAGACACTCTGACCGGATCACTGGGCACATTCCTTGCTTGGCGAGCGGCTTATCATGAGAAAGTGTGGGACTCTGGCGAGCAGGATAACGAGAAGGCAGCGCAGAGCAAGGAAGATGTTCAAGCAGAGCTCGATTCTGAGAACAAACGCATGTCCCCGACAACGACTCTGCTATTGGCGGCTTGGGCGGGAAGTAGCATTACACGAGAGTGCTCGCGACGAGCCTTTGAAGCCAAAGGGCGGAGCATGCAGGCCAGTGATTTGACTGATGAGGTTCACGGGGCGTTTCTGGACCTGATTGGAGAGCCAGAAGGGTCTAAGACGCACCTCTAGGCTACCATATCAAATGCTACTAGCCATTCATCTATGTACGAGAAAGACGGTGCAGCTGAATATTCCGGAGCATATCTCCATGTACCTAAGCCCAGCTGCATGTAAACTCACAGCAATGAAACATGTCTCGTCCACTTTTATGATGGTTCTCACAAGCGGTGTCTATAGTTGCCAAGAAGAATAGTCTCGAACCCTGCATATCTTAGTCAAAATCCGTCTCCGATATTGCAATCTCGACTGCACTGACTTACGTGGTGTTATATGGTATCATAGGGCATCTTTTCTTGCATTTTTACCTGAGAGAAAGAAACAGCTCATAGTATGCGAATCTTTCAGCCTTCAATAATCCATTGATCAGCATGGTCAAACCCCGTCTTTCGGTGCTGATGCTTGAGACTCGGGCCTGAGTCTTGTCCCAATTGCCAACCATTAGGTGAAAATATAATACTACCGGCCAATAAAGGTCGTCTGACAACACGATATCATCACCAGACTCGGATGATTAGTTTTGAGCGGGTCCAACAAGGAAAAAGTGTGTCCTAGATGGGCACCTTAGACCTTTACCCTTGATGGCATGCAGAGTAATAGAAACCAAAAAACAACATGTCACAGGCCCTGCCTCAATTCAGACTAGCCTATGCCCAACTTTCGCAGTCTCGCTTGTTTTCACCTGCCTTTTATCAGGTTCCAAAAGTCTGCAGAAGACGAAGTCATTTGGATAAAAGAATGCCCAGCTCGTAGCAATAAATCTGCAAGCAGTGTGAGACATCTACCTTGGCAAGTCAAAATTTCACATTCTATACGGCCGTTGACGTCGAGATCTGAATGTGGCTAGAGGGATGGCCCTGAGACATGCACCCCGCCTCCACCCTTGCTAATTCGATATTCCAAAACCTAAGCAGTTTTAGGCGTGCTGCTCAAAGGCAATGTTGAGCTAATAAGCCATCGACATCACCTTGGCCAATGAACATTGGTGGTGTTTTGGGGTATTGTTCCAGATCTCGTATTCACGCCCAACCCCGTACCGTATATGGCTATACTAGGAAACCCAGGCTGAAAATGACCTCGTGATGCAACGCAGGGAACAGGATGAAGAACGTCTTCCACAACAAAGGAGCATCAAGCCTAAGGATTGGTCTAAGCATATAGATCCTTGGAGACGAGTATATAAGATGGCGAATCTCCCAGCAAAAGATAACGCCATCAGAAACCAATCCCCAGACACAAGACACCAGATCTACAAGCCCAATCATCCATCAATATGCATTTCCCCATCATCACCTTGATCCTCGCGACTGCCTCCCTGGTAGCCGCTGACCCAACATCAGGGCCCCAGTGTGGCACCTGCAACCCCATCTCAGGCGAGAACGGGTGTGACCCTTCCACCTCGTGCATCAACACGGGAACATCCTTCCACTGCGCCTGCCGCGCTGGTTTCAAGGCATCTCAGTACAACAACGACTTGTACCATCAGTTCCGCCTGCCGATGCCGAACTATGAATTCCTTGTTTTCGTTCCTGAGTACACGGCTTGCAACACCTCGTGTGATGATCCGTATGCTGCTCCTTCCGATCTTTGCAACGAGGTCATGCTTCAACGCCAGTGCGCGGCTTAGAATATTGGTCCGTGGTGGGAGTGGTCAAACAAGATAAGGGGGTAGTGCAGTAGGCTCAAGCGGAACCTATAGCGAGATATTCTGGCGGGTTTTCTGGCGGATTGCATGTGTACATGGGTCACTTCTTAATGGAAAGAAATTGCTTTAGTGGAGAATTAGCATGTAAATGTAGATTAAACAAGTAGACTGAGAAGATCTTCCTAATTCATCTCACGAAATCATAATAACCGACTCCATTTCCCCAAGAATATACCCAAACACCCGTCGCCTTAATTTTAGCCAGTTTCACATGCATCTTCAACACGTACAAAAAGTCCGACATCAAGAAAACAATAACAAAATGTGAGACTTTCACAATTACATGTCCATATCGTCATCGACTTCAGTGAAGAGCAGACGCGTGCCGTTGCCAGTGACTTGCCAGAGCTATAGAGAACATTGTTAGTAAAAAAGCACGGTACTTTTGGGAGTTAGCCACACTTACGTTCATCTCGGCATATTCATCGATAGTCATGGTGAGGTTATCTTCAGTGAAGCCTCGGGCCAGTACACGCTCACGAATACGTCTCATGCTCATCTCGCCTTCCTCTCCATCTCCAATGGCAGCGGCACCACTCTCCTTCATACTACGGATCAAATTGTAGATCTTGCTAGATGGGGTGTTGTCGCTACCCTGCTCGCCCTCGCTGTATAGAGAAGCCTTACTGATCTCAATGAGACGCAGAGCCTCATCGACATCCTCGCGAACAACCTCCTCACTGAAGCGAAGACGAGCAAGTGCCTGCGAAAGACGAACAATACCGAGCAGAGTACGGGGACTGACATGGGAAAACTGTCTCTTCTTGGACTCATCGATCTTTTGTCTCTTGCGCATGGCCACATAAGCACCAACCATGTAATCAGAAACATTGGTAGGCACAATAGGACGGTAGCTGCGTGCCTTGGCAACATACTGACGGACCTCGTGGGGAGTGAATAGCACGCCAGCTTCTTCACTCTCCGGGTGCTTGTTGTGCATGTGGACGTAGGTGACGTGTTGGGCCAGCTCCTCGTCGCCCTCGCGGGACGGGGTATCCAGAAGCAGGAACATGACATCGAAACGAGAGAGCAGAGCGGCGGGTAGGTTAATGTTCTCCACGGGTGACACCCGAGGGTTGTAGCGACCATATAGCGGGTTGGCCGCTGCGAGGATGGAAGTGCGGGCGTTGAGGGTAGTTGTGATACCGGCCTTGGAAATGGAGATAGTCTGCTGTTCCATCACTTCGTGAATAGCTGTTCGGTCTGAGTCCTCCATTTTGTCGAACTCATCAATACAGCAGATACCGTTGTCGGCGAGAACAAGGGCACCTCCCTCCAGCACCATCTCGTCTGTGACAGGATCTCGCATGACTGCAGCGGTGAGACCGACACCACTGCTTCCTCGTCCCGTGGTGTACACGCCACGAGGGGCAACCTTAGTAATGTATCGAAGAAGCTGGGACTTGGCGACACCAGGGTCACCCATCAGGCAGATGTTGATGTCTCCACGGATGTGCATGCCGTCACCCATCTCTTTCGTGACACCGCCAATCAAGAGCAATAACAATGCCTTCTTGACATCAAGGTGTCCGTAGATTTCGGGTGCAATCGACCGTGAAAGGTACTCATACATATTACCGGAACGTTGGTGTTGCTCGATCTTGCGAAGAGTACGGCTATCCATACCCACCTCATTGTAGGACTTCTTGTGCTGTGTGATGTGCTGGGCATCCAAGTATGTGTCAGTCAGCAGGCCGGCGCGAATAGCCCGGAAACCAGTGTAGGGAGTGGGCAAGAAGATGCCAGCCACATCGATAACGTCGCCGGGGTTCAGTTGACGAGTCAGAGCTCCGTAACAGTGAACAGTTAAAGCGCGAGGAATATGGCCCACAGGGACCTGGTCGGCCATTTCCTGGATCTTCACTTCCTGGAAAGGAACAAACTTCGATGCACGAGTCGACAGGAAGAGCTGACCCTTCGAGTTGTTCTTCTTGCATTCCTCCGACAAACATTCGGTCAAGGGGAGGAATTGCTTGGTGGTGATGGGCTGGAACACCTCGCAACCACAGCGATCGCAAGTGTAGGCGTTGATCTGTACAGCTGGCTTGACATCTGAGACACGGGTGGTGATACCGCGGACTGTAATCAAGGTACCGATGTGCTCACCGCGTACATAACGGACGGCGAGAGCTTTGGAATCGCGCTCGGCGCTAGACCCTGAGGGTGTGAGGGGCTTGAAGTTAACAGTATATCTGCGGGTGAGCTCCGGAGGGAACATCGATGGGGCAGTCGCAGCAGCTTCCATGTCGGCCTCCATCGCAGTTTCCATAGTCTCATTCCGCTTCTCGCGTTGAGACATGATCACATCAAGCACATCGTCTTTGAATCTGCACGATAATTAATTTAGCAGTCTGTGCATTCACATATAAACAGATTTGACATACGTGACATCCTTTGTCTCCCTGGGCATAACCGCATCAATCGCTTGAGAGATGACATCGATATAGCGTTTTGTGTTCTTTTCGATAGATTGGACGAGCTTCAAGTCTTCTCCCTCGGGCAAGGATTTCTCGAACTATTACCAACATTGTAAGCTAGAGTTTAGTCAGAGGGGCTCATATTGATACTTACAATTGACAGGTCATCCAACTCAATCAAGATATTAGATTTATCCCGGTTTGCGATATCCTGCAGAATTTGCATGTACTTGAGCTTCGGCTCCCGGTGCCTCCTTGCTCCTCGGGTGTTTGCCCCATTGGTCTCATCAGCATCATCCATGAAATCATATTCATCACTAGTCCCGTCGTCGATGTTCAGATCCTCCAATGCCTCGGTCGCAGCGGCTTCCGAAGACGATTGGAAGGTTTTGAACCCCTTCAGGAAATCCTTGAAGCTATTCAGTTGCGCGGAATAATCCACAGGCGGGGGGTATTGAAGGAGAGACATAATAGCAAAGTGCGCTCAATTGAAAGCGCAAAGAATGGATAGTGGGATCGGGAGAGAATATAAGGAAGAGGGTCCGTCCAGTGTCTATCGGAGCCCCAAATTCGCTGGGTAAAACGCGAACGCGAGGTCGGGACGCGCTCAAAAACGAGACTAACCTATTTAGGAAAGGTATCAATTCCGACGGATTATCACTTTATCCGCTATCAATATATCACATGACTCGTCATCGGGCCGAGGCGAAAGAGAGATGTAGTGTGGAGTCCGGGGTCGCGTTTCTACGAGTTCACGATTCCCCCTCCTCCTTGTCTTTCCGGGGTCCACGATCGTTCAGCGCTTCAAAATGGCGCCCAAGAAGCCTGCTGCGACGGCCGAAGTCGCCCTTATCCCCCTAAAGAACTGTCTTGTTAATCTACCGCCGTCGCTGGTCGCCCTGCTGGTCAATGCAAACACGGTCAGTCTGCTAGTCGTTCTGTTTCCGTAGGTTATTTTCGGCTAACGTCTAGCTATAACAGACTGCTCAGAATGTTATTATCGAATTACAATATAAATCGACCTCCGGAAAGGCCAATGGAGCTCCTCCGCAGCAATCATGCTTCCTCGGTTGGACGGGTATGCCGAGCAAGCGCAGGCTTGCGCCTGTCGTTGGGAGGGACGGTATCAACAGTGGATATTCCAGGGAGCAGGAAGTATCTACCGTTGAGCTTGATACTACTTTTGGGCGGCTCCTTGGTCTCACAGAAGGCCAGAAGGTACAATACTTCCCGTACGTCATTACCCACGTGGGGCGCTAACACTTGCAGGTCGGATTGTTCATCCACCTCGATCCACCCGTTGCACATACGATAAACATCGAGCCATTGACACCAGAAGACTGGGAGAGTATGTACAAGCTACAAGCAGCTATAATTAGAGTGGTACTAACTCGATATAACCAGTCATTGAGCTCCATGCCACATTCCTGGAGCTTAACCTCTTGTCACAAATTCGCGCTCTACCCAATCCTACATACAATGCGGCGCAATCGATGCATATGCACCCACTCGCATTGCATCTCTCTCCCACATCTACCGCCAATATTGTCGTCACTTCTCTTACACCCGCTCCCCCAGACACCTCCCCCTTCGCCAAAATCGCGCCGGATGCAGAAGTCATAGTGGCTCCCAAGGTTCGATCTAAGACGAGTAAAAGCTCTCGGGCTGACAGCCGCAGCGCTACTGGTAGCAGCAGGAGGAGTGCTGGGGGGAGGAGTGCTTCGAGCACTGTACGCCCGAAGAGTGGTCGGTCCAACTCCAGTACACAAGGCTCCCTCTACTTGAGAGGCGTAGACCGCTCAGCGACCACTCAATATTTTGACGAGGAAGTAGACGATGACGCAAATCAGGGCCTTCGTATTTGGGTTGATCCGGGTCTGCTGGCTAGCCATGAGCTGCGCGGCGCGACTTGGGCATGCGTGTCGGTTGTCCAGCCATCCGGTCTCAAACCCCCACCAGATCCCCAACAGCAACTTGCTCAGGCTGAACAGCAAAAGTCCAATGATTCTGGTGCCCCTTCAACCAAGCTCGTGGCTAAATTGTTTCCATGGGAGGAGGCTCCTGACAATCGGCATGTGGCGCTTTCCACCTTGTTGTGCACGGCCCTTGGTGCAGAGAACATGGTTGGAGGAATCATCCGAGTAGAAGCAGCACCCCCACCGCTGCATCGCTCGGCAGTCAAGACCCTCAAAGTCTATCCTTTCATAGGCGATTCTTTAAAGAAGAAGGACGGGCTGAAGTTCGGTGCCGACACTACGGCATCCCGCGATGCCCTAGCCGAGCGCCTCAAAGTCATCTACGGCAGCACTGGGTCTGACACAGGGCTGTTCTCGGGACCTTTAACTGATGGAATGATTATACCCAAATCTGACTATCACCCTTCAGTCTCTTCGTTCGATGGTGCTATTATTCGCTTTGATCCCCCCTTCAAAAAGGGGGCTCCGGACGAAACAAAGTCAATGTTCGGGTGGTTGCTAGGCTCCGAAGCCAAGCTGAATCTTGAAGTGCAGGCTGAAATCCCCAAGCCATTTGACCCTAGTTCACAGGCGCTACCTATGGAGGACCCTCTTCCAGAGACTGCCCCTGAATTAGTAGGGATTGATTCTATCATTGAACAGTCATTGAACAATCTAACAAAATCGTCGTCTATCTTGCTGACCGGTGGTCTTGGTGCCGGTAAAACAGCTCTTGCCCATCTACTAGCTCATCGCCTAAGACGAGATCATCTTTTCAATGTCAAGTATTTCTCCTGCCGCAAGCTCGTGACAGATGAAACACGTATTTCCAACATCAAAGAGACCCTGAACCGCCTCTTTATGTCCGCATCATGGTGTGCGCGTCTTGGTGGCCAGTCAGTCGTGATCCTTGAAGATCTTGACAAGCTCTGCCCAGCGGAGACTGAATTGCAGGTGGGTGGTGATAATGGCCGAAGTCGCCAGAACAGCGAGGTTATCTGCTCTATGGTTCGAGAATATTGCGCGCTGAATTCCTCTGTTGTGCTACTGGCCACTGCACAGGCCAAAGAGTCTCTCAATAATGTTATTATCGGCGGCCATGTCGTCCGTGAGATCATTAATATGAGATCCCCGGATAAAGAAGGACGCCGAAGGGTTTTGGAAAAACTTACTAGCGAAGATAAACCCACAGAGAGCTTAAACGGGCATGTGAGGGCCACAAGCTCCTCAACACAAGACTCGTGGTTGGACCCTTCAAATCCGGGGAGCCGACCAAGCTCTTCTGGGGGTGATGGGTTTGTTATTGGAAGGGACGTCGAGTATCTAGAACTGGCCGGCAAAACCGATGGGTATATGCCCGGTGATCTTGTGCTACTCGTTGCTCGTGCGCGGAATGAGGCCCTCATTCGCTCTGTCTCAGATCTGACAGCAACATCGAAGATGATCACTCTAGGGTTAGAGGACTTTGAAAGTGCCTTGAAGGACTTTACCCCAGCGTCTCTTCGAAATGTTACTCTTACCTCGTCAACAACCACATTTTCGTCTGTTGGGGGTTTGTTCGAAACTCGCAAGATGCTATTGGAAACATTGCAATATCCTACAAAATATGCCCCGATCTTCGCACAGTGCCCATTGCGACTGCGGTCTGGTTTACTTCTCTATGGATTCCCTGGGTGCGGTAAGACAATGTTGGCTAGCGCAGTGGCTGGCGAATGTGGATTGAACTTCATCAGTGTCAAGGGTCCCGAGATTTTGAACAAATACATCGGAGCTAGTGAAAAGAGTGTCCGCGATTTGTTTGAAAGAGCCCAAGCCGCTCGCCCTTGCGTCCTTTTCTTCGATGAGTTCGACAGTATCGCACCCAAGCGTGGGCACGACTCCACTGGTGTCACGGACCGTGTTGTCAACCAGTTGTTGACACAAATGGACGGTGCAGAAGGCCTCTCTGGCGTTTATGTGCTGGCAGCAACATCACGACCCGACTTGATCGATCCTGCCCTCCTTCGTCCTGGCCGTCTCGACAAGTCCCTTCTTTGCGGCATGCCCAACCATGCAGACCGTGTTGATATCATCCGCTCAGTGAGTGAAAAGCTCAAAATGAGTGACGAGGTCACGTCTCGCTTTGGTGATATTGCCACCCAGACCGAAGGATTCTCTGGTGCAGATCTGCAGGCTGTCGTCTACAACGCCCATCTAGAGGCAGTCCACGACACGCTAGGTGACCGTTCTACCGATGCAGCGAAGCCCAATTCCAAGTCCAACTCCTCCGCCAATGCTTCTAGCAAGTCCTTCATCCAGTTCCTTTATTCCTCTTCAGAGGAAGCATCTGGGTCTGTCTCCATGCCAGCCCCAGCAGTGATTTCAGCCAAGCTAGAGGCAATCAAGAACTCACGTCGCCGTCAGCGCCAGCTCGAGCAGGGACTTTCCGGTGCGAACAATGCCGCGGCCCCGGTGGCTAACGGCACTGAGCCCGATGCAGACGAGCTGCATGAGGATATCATCGTCCGCTGGGAACATGTTGAGCGCTCATTGGCAACCACGCGTGGTTCCCTTCCCCCAGCTGAGCTTAGACGTCTCCAAGGAATTTACCGTGAGTTTGTGGCCGGCCGAAATGGCGAGATGCCCAACGGCGAGGCTGCCAATGAGATTGGAGGGCGAACAAGTCTGATGTGATATATTTTATGACTTGTTTTGTACACTGTATATATGAACGCCCTTGTATGTTCGATTGATTATTTGCCTTCTACTCCTGTATTTCTCAATATTGGTAAATGGAAATGTTATTATACATTTGAGTCTCGTCTTAGAGGATTATTAGATGAGAAAGGGATCAAGTTTATCGGACCGATGTTGGCTTGCTTGCGGCAATTCATGAAGGTTTGCCTTGTAGATTGGGTTGCTTTACAAAAGTTGAAGTACTAGTAGCTTAGGGAAAGAGAATATGAACTAGCTATGTTCAAAGCGGACCGCAAGCAGTCACAGTATACATAAACACCTCCACATCACCGTGGTGCCGTGGGCGGCTACCGCCTACGTGACCCGGCAGCCCATATTAGGAGGAGGCCTGGAAGTAGGGGAGACTCACGGGCAAGCTTTTTGCCTTGCCCAATACGGTTTGTAGGTAGTCGGCTTTCTCGGTCATCATGAATGTGTATATTCTGATTTGCTCTCTCTTGCTGTCCTGGAGAAAGCTATACTTTCTCATCAGCACTAGGGGCTTGTCTGTCTGGCCGACACAAAGTCCGTCACTTCTGTTCAAAGCCGCGAGTCTTGCTCATTATCTTCCGTCTTTCCAGACAATCCGAAACAGTCCCCAGAATAGCTAGTCCAATCAGCCCACAGCAGCCAGTAGCAATTTGCCTTTTCCAGGTATTGGGATCACGGCAGTTCTCAGAGCAGACAGGATAGGTTCCGTTTGTAGCCATTTTGGCGCGTCTGGCATGATAGCTATTTTCGGCAGTCCACATGTGAGCTGCGACGGGGCAGCGCAGAAAAACCGAATTCGTAAAAGAGGAGGTGGTGCATGGGAATTGGTTCATGTAAAGGCTGGCGATATCGGAATATCGTAGAGGTGGCGAAACTATTTCGGTCCTTGAGAGTCAGAGCTTGAAGTACATATGAGCCCTGGAGAGGGATCAGACTCACCATACTGCGTGCACCTCGTACTGAAAACTAGACCAAGCCCCGGAGATATTACCTAACCAAGCTCCAACTGTACATCGATGAATCAGCATTGGGAAGCAAACTATAGGTGGAAGAGATGAAATTACCAGTTGACGAGCTCGTACCCGGTGGTCAAAGGCAATCTTTATTGGATCTGCTATTCTTGACTTCCTCTGCATGGTTCGGGCTGCAGAAACTATCGATAAAGGCGTTTCTGATAGCTTTCGGCACCAATCCAGGGAGCAGAACTTAAAGCCACGAGGCCTATATGTCATATTGTTAGGAATCAGAACTGAAGACTAAACCAGAGAGACACAAGCCTTACCAATGGGCAGTCAACTCCTCCTCAAGCATCAGCCCCCACACTACAGAAACCCCCCCTTACCATCTTCACCGAAAGCACCAGCAGAAAGCTCACCCAGACAAAATCCAAGTTCACTTATTGGCTAGCTGCCGAGCTCTGGCTCCGGCCAAGTCACCAGCACAAGCGACACCCAGGGACCCTATCAGAATCAAAAGTCAGCTGAGTCCAATCCATTTTAGATGGAACATGTGAAGCGAGAAAGAAGCGAGAAGAACTGGGATGGAACTTAAACCAAGAAAACAAAGGCTAGAAGAGGTAAGAATGAAATTAAATGGACTTACCAACGTCGCCGGCGCAGCAGAAGACTCGGAGCATCACCACGGATCAAGATTGGGGCGGGGGTAGGCTTGCCCCGGCGCGCCGCAATCGAGCCCATGAGCGCGCGAGCCTGCTGTCGCTGACGGTGGGCTTCGTACCCTGGGATCTGCTGGTAAGTGGGGGGAATCACCGGAATCCTAATGTCGGCAAACCGGGAGGTCGCAGCCTGACGGCTGGCCCCGTAGCGGGGGTAACTACCTGTCTCGAGAGAGACACAAACCTCATCGGTAGAACGGGAAGTCGGAGGTCCATTCTCCATGGACCAGAGGCCCGACAAGGAAACCATCTCGAAGGCATCCATTTTGCAAGTTGTTTTGGTTATCAAATTGCCTTTGTGTGCAATGAAAAAGAAGGAGAAGAGGGAAAGTGAAGAGGAAGTGAAGGGAGAAAGAAAAGAGCAGAAGAGAAGAGAAATGGGATGGGATGGGGGCTGTTTACGGCCCAAAGAGGAAGGGTCGACCGACTTCAGAGGCGAAGGGGCGACAAAGTGTACAAATGGCATCGGCTCGCAGTCGCTCCTGCCATCTCATGCATAAGAGGTGGGGGACCATTAAGCACGCGGGCACTACTGTCTTGTTATGGGTCTATTCAATTAGGGCTGGCGATGTTGCAGTTTGATCGAATTTTGTAAAATAAACAAATGGCTTAGAGTACTTCACTCTTTCTCTAGAGCCTTATCAACAAGACGTTCAAGCTTGTTCCATTCAGCGGAGAGTACAGCTTTGGTCTTGCTAGGATCAATGCCATTGGCTTTGAACTCATTGTGAACCTGCAGAAACTGATTTCCAACAAGTCTCTTGAAGCTAGGCACGGTGCAGCTCTCCGCTTGGGTGCTAGTAAGTTCGGCGAGAATGTACCATATCAAGTAGTGAAAGTTCAGCTTGAAGTCATGAATCTGGACAGGGTCTTTGGGGTCAGGTTGGAAGCCCTCCTGGGAAATAAAGACAGTAAGCCTGACTAGGCTCCATGCATGGATGTGTCGGATTGGATGGGCTTTGTCATAGACAACAGGATCAATTCGCAGGTATCGAATGGCAGCGTGGATGAATGCCCGGGTGAAGTTACCAGCCGTTAGCAGAGATATGATGAGCTTGTCGCGCAGAGAAGCATATGGCTGACGGGTGAGAGGCCATAGCGCAGTTTCATGGAGCTTGTGCATAGCAGCTTCTAATTTCTCGATTGCGTCTGCTGGCTCTGTGCTGGTTGCTGTTGCTTTCTGCATGAGTTCTAGGGCTTCACGCTCTGCTGTCTCTAGGGGAGCCATGTCTTCAGGTGTAGACAAGAACCGGTCTTCAATGGTATCTGTTCCCATCTGGCACTTTGTGCACTGGCAATCAAAGAAGTAGCGTTCTTTCAATTCGTTGCGACGGATATCGTATGGTGTCGTGGTGTCGATGTAGGAGATGAATATTTGCTCGCCCTTTTTGATAGGACGCATAGCTTTGACGTACAGTTCTTCACCATCAAATCCCACAGTGGAGTTGTAGGCACAGCTGTGGTTGATCAAGCCGGCATATGGATGCATGTAGAGGCCAATGCGGTCATACATGGAGGTGGTAAGGTTGAAGGAGTTGAGATCCAGCTATGATATAGTTAGACAAAAGGCCGCGATGAAAGGTGTAAGGCTGAAACCAATTACCTTGGCAGCATAAGAAGCGATAGTTCCTTCATCCACATCCGTCCCTGAGTAATTCTTGACAGCTCTTGCCGTCAGGTTAATCCTATCAAGCTGGCCTTGGCTCTCTGATATCTCGTTGATATGAGTCTCCAAGCCATCAAAGACCTTGAACTCTTCAGCGTCGTATTTGCTACGCGCAGTGCGCAGTACTACACGTAGGAGAGCACGGGCATTGTTGGGAAGAACCATAGGCTTGACTTTTTTGAAGATGGGGCATTCAAGAGAATGCGCGAACTTCCAGTCCTTAGATTGACATACCTAAATCACATATTAGAATATCAAACCAGTAATCTTTGGTAGGACAAGAAATATGAGACAGCAAACAGTATATCGTATATCCCATTAGCAACTCACCCGATCACAATACTTCACGACACGGCATCCCGTGCAAGCCTTTAACTCATTTCCAGTTTCTACCTGTCTCTTTCCGAAGCAACCAGCACAAGTGTCCTCTAAACGTGGGGAATCAAGAACCGCCACAAATGGTGTTTTGATGTGCAAAACATCTTCACCGGGGTTGATGTCGGCTGTCACAAACAGACCGTTACCTAGGCCATTAGGGGCCGGCTGTGGGACCGTCCTGGTCGTGACCGAAGGTAGTGCAATTCTTGATGCCATTCTAGGTGATCTGAATATAGGAATAAGAATTGTTTGAAGATATAACAATTAGAGTGGATAGTCGTCCACACGGGCAGGGCGGTGAATATTCGCCATTGTATTTGAATCTCTTGGCATTGATAGTGGAAGATTAATAGAATCTCCAACATACCCCAACAAAGAGCAGTCACATGGAAGACATTGAGATTTCCCTTGTGGTTTTACTGCTTGCCAATTCAGCTTAAACATTAACAGAAGCTAGAAACCAGCTCTATCTTTATATGCAAAGTCGCGACATGGTATGAATCGGGCAAAGAAATACTCCTACAAATCCTTTTAAGCAGAAAGCCATACCAATCAAGATGAATATTTGGAGCCAAAAAGAATCAGATTCGAGGCGCTATTTAGGTAAATTACTAGGTGGACATATAGCATAGCTCATTCAAAGTGTATAAACCCAGAGACTCAAGTCCCAATAAATTAAACATCAGGCATGAAAAGAACATGAAAAGAACCAAACTCAAGACCTAGAGCATAGCCGCAAAAGCTGCAGCAGCAGCAACAGCGCCCAACGGTGCAGCAGTGATCAGAGGCTTGGCAGCAGCCGCAGCACCAGCAGTAGAAGCAGTAGGAGTAATCTTCACCGGTGTAAGCGAACCCGTCGCATTAGCCTTGAAAGCGTAGATACCATCGGTGACAGTAAGAGGGTGATAAACAACCGAATACGACGGGATGGATTGTGTGCTCGAGGTGGAATCGGAAATGGTGTGATCACCCTCGAAGGCAGTGTACTCATACTTCCACGTGCAACGAGCAGATTCAGAAAGGCGGGTGAAACTGCATGACTCGACTGCGGTTGCTTGGGCCGTCGCACCCTTGGTCACGACAGTTACTTCCAGGGAGACGCTGTAAGTTGCATCGCCCTGGATCAGGGTTGCGGGGCGGTTCAGTGCGCACTTGGATGCGCCTGCCATGCAGGCGATCTCATAGGTCGTGGCGTACTTGTCGATGCCAACAACTCGTGCTGCGGTGCTGGAGTAGGCGCCGATATTGGCGCCGTAGGGATTGTCAATTCCGAAATAGCTGATGGTTGTTGTGCTGGGCTCATCAGCGGCGGTCAGAGCCGCTAGGAGAGAAACGAGGAACCAAGATGAGCGCATATTTGCAGGATTCGAAGAGGAGGTATTTCAAGGTTGTGAGGACAGAGAGAGTTGGGACTGGGCAGAATAAAAGGAGTCAGGAAGCAGGGGAAATTTTTCACAGTCACTGTTATGTTGGCTCATGACTAGCGTGCCCGATGGGCCTAAAAAGAGTCACAGAGTTCCGCAAGCCAAGCATCGCTCGTATACCAGCGCTATACTTGGCACTTGGCACTGACAAGTAATTTCGTTTAGGGGCTGTGGTAAGAAACTAAAGACATGTCGGTGTAGATCTTGAGGGCCTATGGTTGTGACCTGCAAGCATCAGTCAAGACCTAGGCTTTCTTGAAGGTGAAGAAGTTCAAGGTGGCATTTGAAGGCAACAAAAAGATGAAGGTTCAAGAACAATAGAAGTCACTAGTCGCAAGGGTCACGAGGACCCGTGGACATCAACGTCCTTCTGATTGGCGCCCACAGGAGGCTCAAGCCCCTCCTAGCCTAAACGGATACATATTGTGGCTGAGCCCCTGGAAATGAATAATGATAGGACCCTGAACATAACTAGCTATGCACAAGTACGGAGTACGGAAAATATCTCAAAGGTCAAATTCGTATAGGATCGGCCGTAGAGCAGAGAGTATAGACGAGGAACAATTCGAAGATTCA